AAAAGGATGCAGCAGGCTAGTCCATTTTGCTGAAATTTCATTGCAGCAACTCAAAATGGTACTCAGTAGTTTGTATGGCCCCCATGTGCTTGTATGCATGCCTGACAATGTCGGGGCATGCTCCTAATGATACAATGGATGGCGTCCTGGGGTATTTCCTCCCAGATCTGGACCAGGGCATCATTAAGCTCCTGGACAGTCCGATACCTAATGGCAGTCAGTGTGCCATTGTCTAGCCTGTGCGTCCCTCCATGGATATGCCTCCCCAGATCATCACTGACCCACCACCGAAATGGTCATGCTGAATTATGTTACAGGCAGCATAATATTCTCCATGGCTTCTCTAGACCCTTTCACGTCTGTCACATGTGCTCAGGGTGAACCTGCTCTCATCTGTGAAAAGCACAGGGCACCAGTGGCGGTCTTGCCAATTCTGGTGTTCAATGGCAAATGCCAATCAAGCTCTATGGTGTCAGGCAGTGAGCATAGGGCCCACTAGAAGGCGTCGGGCCCTCAGGCCACCCTCATGAAGTCTGTTTATAATTGTTTGGTCAGAGACATTCACACCAGTTGCCTTTTGGAGGTCATTTTGTAGGGCTCTGGCAGTGTTCATCCTGCTCATTGTTGCACAAAGGAGCACATACCAGTCATGCTGATGGGTTAAGGACCTTCTATGGCCCTGTCCAGCTCTCCTAGAGTAACTGCCTGTCTCCTGGAATCCCCTTTATGCTCTTGAGATTGTGCTGGGGGACACAGCAAAACTTCTGACCAGATCTCTATCCCAGGAGTTTAATTGACTTGCTGCTATACTCTGATTAAAAAGTGTTCTTTTTAATTTTTTGAGCAGTGTATAAATGGTAAGAAAGTGAGAGGATTGAGTCAAACAAATCTTTCAATATCACAAAAATCACTGAAGGTGATATCAGGTACACAAGAATAATGATGAGTCAGTTAAAAGATGCCAAACAAATTAGTATAGGTAAATCTCAATATATGGTAACTATGATGACTGGCGACAAAAAAGACATGAATGTGGATTATCAATAGCAATAGTAATAGTACAACTCAGCATATGGTCACTGAACAGCAGAAAGTTGCATAGGATAACATTATGTACCAGAATCAGCATAAACAGTAGCAACACCACACTGAGTGCAGCAATGGACAGTAATGGGGGTACATTTACTGTGTTCAGGAAACTACACTGCCATAGTACATTAAAGGTGACTATGCTAGGCTGAGTCTGGGGGCTTGTAAAATGGCTTTATGAGGGGAGGGGGCAGTCTTTTACTGTGCTAGTGTGATATTGTTGGAAACAATAAGCAATGTTAGTGCATTTAAAGCATAATTGAAGACAACACTTTTTTTTTACTATTGGATAGAGTGGAGATAGATTAGAACACATATTAGGTTTTTGTTGCAGTCTGTGCCTCCATTAGGAAGGTTCACCCTCTATATTTGTCCTGTTTACCATTATCATCAAAAGTCTAAGTAAAGAAAACCCCCAAATTTTTTGTCCCTAGAAAAGTAATAGTTGCAAATTTTTTTAATTGGGACACTTGTTCTTGTGATCTGGGGATGCCAAAGGAATTCCCTTAATTTATGGGGATTTTCTTTCACTTCCTGTTTTGGATATGGGACAGGAAGTGAAGGTAAATCTCCCCAATGGGACACAGATGGCAAAAAATAAATTGACAAGGGTTATAACCCTCCCTTCCTTTATCCAAAATTTAAAAAAAAGTTTTGCCTATAGTTCCACTTTAATAACAGTCTTGGTGAACCAGCATCTGGTGTAGGTGCTGTGTACTACGTGTCATGACTTCAGTGAATCAGTCTCTGCAATCAGTCTCTTTCCGTGTGCAAGTATTGGGCAGTGAACCATCTTACCAGTCCTTGCGGTGCAGCTGTAGACTTCTTGGCCCCTTGGCCTCTACACAGATGGCTCCAATGATCAGAAGTGAAGGAGGGGAGAGTGAGACTTTGCTCTAATCCCCCTGCAGCAAGGGCAAGTTTGACTTCAAGATTGACTTCAAGCTCCCCACCAGTCTGGTCTACCGCAGAGATGTGTGCACACAGACTGATGTGCTCACATGACATCCGACCAGGGGCAGACTGACCATTTGGAAACCCGGGCACTGCCCGAGGGCCTGGGGTCAGTAGGGGGCCCCATGAGATGCCCCTGGTACCTTTTTCATAGGCTTTTTTGAGTTTGGGCAAGGTCACAGGGGCCCCATGATCCCCTATTGCCCGGGGGCCCCATGGGTTGTCAGTCCGCCCCTGCATCCGACGTTGCCAAGAGGAAGAAGTTTCCAGTGCAGGTATGGTAAAAAGTATTCCCCCAATCTCCCCTCTCCCTCAGTATCCTATGGGAGCAGAACGTTTAGGAACTGGAGCAGCCAGAATCTGGAGCAGTTGCATAGCAACCAGTCCACTTCTATCGCTCATTTTAAAAGCTTAACTGAACAAGTTGAAGATAGAAGCTGATTCCATGTGGAGCTACACCTGATTCTGTCCCTGTGTTGATAAATTCCCCTCAAAGGGTCAGCTTGTCATTGATTTGTACATTTTCCTGTCTGGAGCTGATCAGGAAACCTGGCCAAACATGGGACAGAGATACACTGATCTGGGTGATCTATGGCCCTAATTGGACATGTGCATCAGCCCTTAGAGTAAAAACCAGAAGTATTTTAAATAAAGAAGATTAAATATTAACCCCTTGGTGCTGGCGCCTCCCAGCCCTTTAAGAGGTTTGTGATGCCGGGAGGCGGGGGTGTGAGATTTATGGTCATGTGACCACCGTGATTGGCTGTCATGAGGGGTCACAAGATTGGAAAGCTCCCGACCACAAGTAGTGATCAGGACCTTTCCGTGGGTCCTCGGTAAATGTGCCGGGAGCATTAAGGCCGTGTGCTCTCGGCACATCTTTTGTTTACATTGGGTAAGTAAATATGCAGCCTTTGGGCGCCAAGGCTCAGCCGCCGAGAGCCTGCATATTTGCTTGCACTCAGTGCCAAGGAGTTAAACCCAAAAAGCAAACATTTTTCATGTTGCAGCAAAGTGAATAAATGGTTAGCATTTCTGCCTGGCAATACTAGGGTCATTGGCTCAAATCCCAACCACATCACCTCCTGCCTGGAGTTTGCATGTTCTCCCTGTGCCAGTGTGGGTTTCCTTCCACATTCAAAAAGACATCCTGGTAGGTTAATTGGTTCCTGTCTAAATTGGCCCTACTTTGTATGAATGTGAGTCAAGGATCTCAGATTGTACCCTTCTTGAGGGTTAGGGACTGATGGAAATGTGCAATATATATACACATGTAAAGCGCTGCGTAAATTGACAGCGCTATGACTACCTGTAATAAATAATATTGCAGCTTACCAGCTTTTTGGTGTGAAGGCTGCATCAGCTTTTTTTTTAGTCTTTTGTTTCTTTATTTTCATTTGCTGATCCAGCCAGTATATCTGTTGTTTTTCAAAAGATATGATCTTTTGCTGATGTATCAGTTAAAGGGATGAGACCAGGGGTGTATTTACCACAAAGGCAAACAAGGCATTTGCCTAAGGTGGCACTTTTTAGGGGGCAGCACTGGCCCTTGGAAGAAGGGGCATATGCGGCATGGGGACCAGGTGGGATGCGAAAGGGGCTGCGGGTTGATTGATGGTGTATGCAGAGCCCAGCTGTCATTCCTGGGGATGGTGTTAGTGGCAGGCTCTCAGGTGGGGAGGACAGGGCAGGGGTGTTGTTGGTCACTGTCAGGCTCTCTTCATGGCGGGCAGTGTTGGTCAGTGTCAGGCTCTCTCTGTGGGGGGGAGGGGTGTCTGCTGTTGGTCGGTGTCAGGCGCTCTTTCTGCCAGGGAAGGGGACGTCCGATTTTTGTATTGCCTAGAGCTTACAATGATCAGCTTTATTTTATTTACAGCATGGAAAACCTTTATCCTAAAAGAAAAAAAAGAAGTGTTGCTCTAACTGCTTATAAAGCATTTCAATTTTCAATTTGTTACCTAATTTATATCTACTAGTACATCTAACACTCCCTTACCCTCAGACTGACAATGCTCCTGTCAAAGAAAAGGTGCCCCCTGTGCTCCTTCATCCAGAGTGGGGGCACTCTAATACAGAAGGTGAGTTACTGGGCAGATCACCAGGTGAATACAGAGGGAAAAAAGTCTAAAAAAAACCCAACTTATGCAGTCACCACATCTAACGATTGGTAAGCTGCAATATATTACATTTTTGGTTTTGGGTTTAATACTGTTTTAAATAGCTGAGATATTATCTACATTGACATCAAAATCCAAACCGTCCAAAAGACCGCTAAATAATTTCACTTATTCGTAGTCAAGACATATGATATGGCTAAACATGCAACAATCATCCCTAAACAGGTTCAGTAGCCTTTAGCAATATCTGGCCTTTTTTACACCTTGACCGATTTGACAACAATTCACACCATCAGTCATGTAACTAGAACAATTAACACCTGTCACAGACTTCATGGGGTTGTGGTGACTGTATCATAAGAAAAAAAACTGGGTGGTATCACAGACTTTCACCTCCTGTCATGTTATTGTACAATCAGCAGCTGCCTTGACACATTTCATGACACCTTAAAGCGTAAAAACACTGAATATCTGAGCACCACAAACCAAAAACGCTATTTAATTCATTTTTAATATTCAAAACCAAAGCATTTCTGGCCATCTTGAGTAAGGGCAGATGATTCTAGTATTTACTTCCTGGAGTCAGGGTTCACACTGATGTGGTGATTCACGCAGGAATCACACCACATTTCTGTGGGAATTACATGCAACGTCTGTGCAGTCTGTGTGAATTACATGCAACGTCTGTGCTGTATGTACATGCAATGTCCGTGTCTGTGCACTGCGATTTGAGCCAAATATGGCTCAAATTGCATCCGTATCAAAAAGGTCCAGGACTCTTTTTCTTACGCGCACTTGAATCCCATCACATGGGTGTTCTCACCCATGCGATGTGGTTTCTGGCAAACGCATCACGTTTTGCAATCTGTTTCGGGGTGTCATTAATTTAACCTTGACACCTGCACCAGATCTCATGTACGCCATGCGATTGCAATGTGGTGCGGGAAACACACAGGCAGAGGCGGACTGACAACTCATGGGGCCCCCGGACAATAGGGGATCATGGGGCCCCTGTGTCCTTGCCCAAACTCAAAAAAGCCTATAAAAAAGCTACCAGGGGCATCTCATGGGGCCCCCTACTGACCCCGGGCCCCTAGGGCAGTGCCCGAGTTTCCAAATGGTCAGTCCCCCCTGCACACAGGATTTGCAGTGTTTCCCACACGGCATTATTGTGAACTCAGTCTGAATGCATCTTCCCTTAGCTCAGGCATACAGGCAGGAGGGTGTGCTTAGCTGAGACTCCTGGGATGTATGACATCATTTGCCTAGGCCATAAACCAGGAAGTAGCAGAACTGTAAATTTAAAAAAAAGTTTAAACAACTAAATATAATATACTTTCCTATCAATTTACTGAAGCTAGTTCCACTTTAATGACTGGATTTAGGTGACTGAGCTACCTGTGTGGCTATAAATGCTCGGTTGTGTGTAGGGGATCTGGTTTGCATCCTGTTCTGTGAATATAGTGTGATGATACAACTCCACTCCTAGCAGCAGTCTTTCCCTTAAAGCAGGGGTCTCCAAACTTTTGAAACAAAGGGCCAGTTTACTGCTCTTCAGTCTTTATGGGGGCCGGACTGTGGTCAGTGGGAGTAGAAAATGCCATGGGCTTGGTTTACTAAGTGGGAGTAAAAAAAAATACATAATAGGTGTCAGTGGAAGGAAAAATGCCCCATAATTGCTGTCAGTGGGAGGAATAATGCCAGATCATTGATGTCAGTGGGAGGAAGAGTGCCCCATAACTGGTGTCAGTGGAAGCAATAGTGCGCCATCATTGGTGTCAGTGGGAGGAATTGTGCCCCATTTTTGGTGTCAGTGGGAGGAATTGTGCCCCCCATTTTTTGTGTCAGTGGGAGGAATAGTGTCCTGTCTTTGGTGTCAGTGGAAGAGGTAGTGCACCGTATCAGTGGAGTGCCCCAAAGCCCAGATAAAGGCAAGCAAAGGGCCCATCCGGCCTGTGGGTTGCAGTTTTGAGGGCCCTGTCCTAAAGGATAAGTTCACCTATTAAAAAAAAAAAGTACATCTTTTTGCAGGTAAAAAAAATGTGCATTTATTATTTTTTTTTTACTTGGATCCTGTAAAGCATTCTACCCGCGATCAGCAGATCATGGTTGCCATGCAGGACTCCTGCAGACCTGTCAGTGTATGTGTGTGTGCATACCTCATATGGGCAAACAGATACACCCTGACAGGAGGAGACAATGAACCACCAGAGTGCTCAAAGCGATTCTAAAGATCATTTTTTTCTTTGGAAAATAACAAACATGTCTATACTTACCTGCAGTGTGCAGTGGTTTTGTACAGAGTAGCCTGGATCCTCCTCTTCTTGGGTCCCCCGCAGGTTCTCCTGGCCCCTCCCTCCTGTCAAGTACCCCCACAGCAAGCAACTTGCTATGGGGGCACCCGCTGCTCAGTGTGTCCATTCCCACACAGAGCCGTGGCTTAGCCCTGCTCCCTCTCCCTCCTCATTGGCTTACTGGCTGTGATTGACAGCAGCAGGAACCAATGGTTCCAGCTTGCTGTCTTAACCAATGAGGAGGCAGAGACCCGGGACAGCCGAGGCTGTCATTCACATCACTGGATCTCAATGAGGTTCAGGTAAGTATTGAGGGTGCTGGGGGCACTGCTGTACACAGAAGATTTTTTACCTTCATGCATAGAATTCATGAAGGTAAAAAAACCTTCAGTCTTTACAACCACTTTAACAGCACCGTGTCAGTTGATTGAGAAATACAAGCTGAGGCACTCTGTGAATGAATGACTTAGCTGGGCAGGTGGAGCCGCGTTTGTTTCTTTTTATATTGTGACAGCTAGTGGAGGGAGAAGATCTCCCACTTGCTGTCACTAGAGGCAGCAGCTGCAGTAATGGAAACATGTTACATGTTAAAGTAGAACTAGTAGCAAAACTTTTTTTCATTTTGGATATGGTAGTGTTATCATCCCTATTTGTTTAAGTTTGTTTGCTATTGTATTGGGAAGATTTCCCTTCACTTCCTGTCCAATAGCCAAAACAGGAAGTGAGGGGAAATCCCTGGCTGTCCCCAGGGTCACTAGAACTAGTGTCCCTGTTGGAAAATTTCTCCTCTATTACTGCTTTGGGGACAACCCAAATCCGAGATTTTCCTTTACTTTCATAATTGATGCTGCCCTCTCAGGCAATGCTAATGGATCTACTGTCATAGGCCTCAGGTGGGTGACCTGTGGCCCTGAATGCTGAGACCTGGGTTCTGCTAAAGCTGACTAAGGGGCCATCTACTGAAGATCAGGTCTGGTATTACAGAGGAAGGCAACCTGCTGTTCTTGGGCCTTGTGAGTACAGACACCCCGAAAGGATTTTAAAAACTGTGTGCTACTTAAACCCCTCTGGTGCTAGGGAGTAAGCTGCAGGTCTAACTAAAGGGGTGTTCCGAAGAGCTTTGTCCACTTATTCTCCTACCTAAAAGGACTCTGCTCTAGTTTGCTACTACTACTACTACTACTACTGCTACCTTAAAGCTGAAGTCTGCTGTTTCTTTCAAGCACAGACTTAGCTTATCCAAAATAATACCTAAAGTTCTCGGTTGTACATAGTTCTTGTTTTTAAAGAATCCCACGTAATTCCCTCAACTCTATCCTAGTTCCCCAAAAATAAAAACCACAAAAAACAACACCCCTAGACTGGTCATTGAAGAAATGTATGAATGAGCCTGGCTGTGGGGCAAAGCTTTTGGGGAAGACCTATACAGTATTCCTGCGGCTCCTGTGAGACTGATACTAGACTAGCAATCAGGATGCTGCCTGTGTAGGCATGGGAAGAGCAAGAACTGGGGTGTCAAGCCGGTTAGGTAGAGGTTGGCTCCTAGCTATAGAGGACACATGCTCCTTAAAGTGGCTGCAGCAGAAGAAGAGAGAATGAGTCCAACTCTCCTTAGAGTATGTTCCTGACTCTCATCATATTTGAGGAGTCACTTGGGTGAGCGGCAAAAGTTCTTCAACATTACAGAACAGGTCTACCTAATACTACTACTGCTACTACTACTACAATGCAATGGGGTTGATTTACCAGAGACAAATAGACTGTTAGCTTTGCAAATACATAGGTACATAGTTATTCAGGAAAAAAGACACAAGTCCTGTTTACCCTAATGGACAGCTTTCCACAGTACGTACATAGGGAAAGGTGTGGGTTACATTCTCCAATATGTTGTAATATGACATAGTGACATAGGTATGATATACAGTCAGGTCCATAAATATTGGGACATCGACACAATTCTAACATTTTTGGCTCTATACACCACCACAATGGATTTGAAATGAAACGAACAAGATGTGCTTTAACTGCAGACTGTCAGCTTTAATTTGAGGGTATTTACATCCAAATCAGGTGAACGGTGTAGGAATTACAACAGTTTGCATATGTGCAGTAGAGGCCAGAGCATCACCAGGGATGAAACCCAGCGTCTGGTGATGTCTATGCGTTCCAGACTTCAGACTGTAATTGACTGCAAAGGATTTGCAACCAAGTATTAAAAAGTGAAAGTTTGATTTATGATTATTATTCTGTCCCATTACTTTTGGTCCCTTAACAAGTGGGAGGCACATATGCAAACTGTTGTAATTCCTACACCGTTCACCTGATTTGTATGTAAATACCCTCAAATTAAAGCTGACAGTCTGCAGTTAAAGCACATCTTGTTCATTTCATTTCAAATCCATTGTGGTGGTGTATAGAGCCAAAAATGTTAGAATTGTGTTGATGTCCCAATATTTATGGACCTGACTGTATACTGACCTTCTGATGTATTGTCACATTTTGACAGGTTATGTCTGCTGCCTAGTTTTGGCAGAGATATGCTGATGGGTATTGGCAGTGTAGCATACTTACAACTTGATGTCTTGAGGTATTGTTTGAAAAAGTGAGACACACAGTTTTTAGATCATTTCTACTATTCAGCAAACATTTTTGCTAGCAATTATATCAGGGAAGAGAGTTAAGTGCTGTAACACTCTAGTGTCTATCAAGGTGACTGGGCAAAGCACACTCTCTGCAAGTCCCTTTTCCCACAAACCGATCATTTCTCAATATTTGTATCTTTCATCTTGTCATTATGGTATTGAACCTATCCCGGGGTAAAGTGTTACACTCTCATTGATTGCTACTGCTCCCTAATTTGTGTATTGATTTCTAAATAAAGCCAGCTTCTACCTCCTCTCCCGGAGGGAGCAAAACTAACATTGCTCATTCATAAATGTGTCTTACACATGAGCCTGCCAATGCTTTCTAAAGACTCAAATGCGCTGCTCCTGTAATGATCATATTCCTGCGTGGTTTAGACGTGCTCCGAATGTCGTTGTATTGGTGTCCAAAACTACCGTGTGCCACATTAACCCTCCTCCTTGGCATTAAGCTTCATTGTGCTTCAGACTTGGCTACTGAGACTCCAGATGCAGCCTGGTTTTATTCTGAAGGCCTTTTTACTGTCAACCTGGTATTAGGTAGTATATCATCTTCATTACTCATAATGCTTTTCAATTTGTGTTACGTTTTAATTCCACAAAGACTTTATTTGAATGAAACAAATATAAAAAAGGCTCTGGGGGGCCACAACATACATTATAGCGGGAAAGAAAAAGGTTTTTAAAGGCACATTTTATTAAGGCATGTCGTCTATTAGGAACATGCATCAAAGTCTGCATATTTAAGGCATAGGAAGATATACTGGCCATGCGCCTCAATACTTGAGACCATTTCCAGAAATAATGGGCAGTGTGTATTGAGCTGAAGTCCAAATGCTATAAGGAAAATGTTAAATTTAGAGAAGAAAAACTCACAGCGTTTTGTTATGTTTTATATCGAAGGTTACATATACCACAAGAGAGGCTTTAGACAAGTGCAGTGGGTAATCTACTAATCAGGTTGAATCCACAATAACTAATTAGAACTCCAACAAGTAATACATACTGTATATAATTCTGGTACTGAAACCAAAAATTCAGGATGCACTTGGCCAAAAACTGAAATGGGCAGTTTTTAAAAATTAATATATATTTTTGGAAAAAAAAATACAGTTTAATGATTAAAAAAAAAACACAATACAGTATATACCCCAATTTCTTTGTAAAATATGAAAGAGGATGTTACGGCGACTAAATAGATACCCAACATGTCATGCTTTAAAATTGCAC